ATTGTTTTCACGGCTATTGTTATGCTGATTGACCTGAAACCGTGGCCCAGTGGGAAAAAACTTGGGATTCAATGACCCTGAGTCAAGTCCGGTTGAGCGAAGTTAGTATCTGGATGGGTGACCCGAAACTACTATCTACTTAACTTTTTTTGTTCAAGATTTTTTTTAAAACATAATTTCGACGTTTTTTTAAAATAACAAGTCARATATCAGCTGAGAAAAATCGCTTACATTTTCTATACGAAAATAAGATACTTTAAGGAGGCTGGAAAGTGTTTTGTGCCTTCACATACACTTACAATTATGAACTAAAAAAAATCAATATGGCTATAATATGACAGCAAGTAAACCAGGAAAGCCAAAGACCATAAACCAAAGATCACAATGGACATGAAAAAAATGATGCAAAACGTTGCTATGACAACACCAGACCCCTTGGTATGCCATCAAAAACATAACTCAGGAACCAAATGCTGAATTTTTTTAAAAACCGGAATATTGAAAGTTTGTATCGTAATCTTCTTTTTGGCAAAAAAAGAAAAAAATTCTGTAATAGGAAATTCGTAAAAATCAATAACATTTGTTTGGAATAGTTCCCTCTTACAGAATTTTTTAAATTTTTCCTTAAGTTTTCGAAAACATAAACTAAAGCCATATTCAAAATTTGAAGAAATTCCACCACAGAGTTTTTGATTTTTTTCGGTTTGAATATTAAAAATTTATAGAGCGCGCGCGCTCAAGAAATACCGTTTCGAGCCTCCTTAATTCGATTAGGATGGTTTTTAAAAAAGTTGAAAAATAGTCGGAAATGAAAAAGCTGCATGCCCCAGCAGTCTGTAATCATGAGCAAGTTTTTAGACTCAAAGGCGTTTTAAGTTTATTTAGGTATGAAACGTCATTAGGGTTAGGACTTATTTCCTGTTTTGTACGCAGGTGTTTTTGGTATCAAAGCAAAAGACTACATTTTGTTCTGTTGCGTAATGTTTACTGAGATGTTACCTCTTAATCATGTTAGATTACACTCTCTTTTGGTTAATAAAAACGCTTTGGATGATGGTCTTTTTGGGGTAAAAATGGGGGCAATTTCTTTTCATACACCTGAGTACTGCCTTAGCCGTTTTCTCGCCAGAGAGATAAGCACCCTGCGCGTATCCGACCCATGTCTCTAGCACCGCGTCGCCGGCAAAGTAAAGCCGCTTCAAGTTTCCTTGGAGGTTGTGGAAATCATCCGCGGTAGTGCCAGACACTGCGTTTGGGTACGAACCTTGGGTGTATGGATTCTGCGACCATTTGCTGTAGAAAATCCCTGGAAAGCCATAAAAATATTGAGTTAAAATTCTTCGAATGTGCGTTAAGTCATGGCATGCATGTTGGTGCCATTTAACAAAATATTTCTCACTAGCATCCATTGTTAACGGCACCAAGATGGCCGCCATGTTTTTGTCTTTTGACTCTCTTTAAAATGCTTTCAACCCCATCAATTCACTTAAATACCACAAAACTTTGTGAATTATTTGAATTAAGTAGAAACATCATTCACATTGATCCTTAATTAATGGTATAGCGACAATTAACTTTAATTGTTTCCACTATTTTTTGGCATATTTCTGGAAATTCTGCGAACCGCGTTTTTTGGCGTGCCCTGTAACCCGGTATGTGGAAAGCGTACTTTCAACTGCCCTGCCCCGCCCCTCCCCTACACACTAGCAATCTTCTTCATAGACTGTTCACAGCAACAAACCTTGTGCTTCAGGAATATTGGGTCCATACACCTTACGAAGCTCAGTCATTATTTCAGCTAGTGTTTCGCTCTCCTTCTGACTCTCCACTCGACGTCCAACTTCGCTCGTTACAGTTACGTGGAGAATACCCGACCTCGGGGCAATACCGGGCACTTCGAGGTCCATCCATACGGGATAATACCCACGCCTGCGGTGCGCGTACAAGATGAACTCGTGGCTGTCCCAAAATTTGCGCGGGAACTTGATGAATATTTTGGTGTAGACTCCCATAGGGACCTTGTGGAATGCCTCTACTTTCCACTGGGGTAGAGCCGGGGAGAATTGGACCAAATTGGTTTTTAAGACACTTGTGCTGAAAGTGCATATAGCAAAGTCAGCCACGTAGATATTGCCGTCTGCTRTTTCTAAGCGAACTCCGGTGTTATAGTATAAGATCTTTTTCACTACGGTATTCAGTTTGATTCTCTCTTCGAAGGGCTTCACTGTTTCTTTCCAAATATGGCCGTAGCCTCGCGGGTCCACCACAAAAAAGTCGGTTCCTCGGGACTCGATTTGAGCAAGAGAATTCATCTCTGGCTTCTCGGTGTATTCAAAATCGATCTCACGATATTCTACTACCTTTTCGGATGGCTTTTTTGGCACCCATCCCTTCATGCTGAGCCCTAAACTCAAGGGCACATCGGGTCTGCCCTCTGCTTGTCGTTGGTTCTGGAGTTCTATTGCTTGATTCAGTGCTTGATCAAAACGAGCTTGGATTTCTGGGTATGGAATATGTTTTCCTTTTTCATCCCTAATGAAATTATCATCAGTAAGGTTATTAAAGATCATCCTCATCATCATGATTATCATC